GGGGGGTGAGGGGGGGGGGGGGGGGTTGACGGCCCCTAACGGCACTTTGGGAGGAGATGAATTGCAGATTTATTATTAAAATAAATTTAACTGTTTTTAATTTTTGCAATAAAGGAAATATTATTTTGCAATATCATCTGTATAATCATGATGAATAAAAATTGTTATCCCTTTTTTATAGCCCAAACCATAGCCCAGCCCCACTGACACAGTGAAAATTCCGACAACTCCTGCGACTTTGACCGCACAGAGAGCAGAGTGAGACACACAAGACCACTGCTGGCCTTCCACCGACTCTTGGTCTATTTTCCAGTCGTCTTGACATTGTATCAGACCCCCAGGACGAGAGTGTGGAGGCTGACGAATGGAGTAACTCTTCCACTCCTTAAACAAAATACAACTCAAATAAAGGCTACCACTCAAGGCGAAAATTTCCTTGGTCATCTTAACGGGAGGAGGTTGGGGGGGGGGGACGAAAAGTTCTATTTAACCCTCTTTAAGTAGTGCTCCATTATTTACTACCTAATTCGAATCACTCATCTTAAGAATTCAATCCGATTTGTCCATTGGTGTAGCACGTCTTTATTCATAGTTTTACATGTATTTTAATAACATTAGGGTAACTATGGAGTTCTCAGTACAGAACTGTGTAGGTGTACATTACTGGGTAGGTGTACATAACTGGGTAGATGTAGATAACTGGGTAGGTGCACTTGCAGCTCAGCTGGAACCAATGATTGTGAAGTCTGTTGGAACCAATGATTGTGAAGTCTGTTGGAACCAATGATTGTGAAGTCTGTTGGAACCAATGATTGTGAAGTCTGTTGGAACCAATGATTGTGAAGTCTGTTGGAACCAATGATTGTGAATCTATGGGACAAGGCAGAATCTGTGATCTTGATCTAATCTATGGGACAAGGCAGAATCTGTGATCTTGATATAATCTATGGGACAAGGCAGAATCTGTGATCTTGATATAATCTATGGGACAAGGCAGAATCTGTGATCTTGATCTACTCAGTGTAAAAAGAGAAGAAACTGAGATGAATGACTTTGAGCACATCATAGATCAGTTCACATTATAGACCAGTTCACATCATAGATCGATTGACATCATAGATCACTTCACATCATCGCCCACTTCACATTATAGATCAGTTCACATCACAGACAAGTTCACATCATAGCCAATTTCACACTATATCCCAGTTCACATTATAGATCATTTCACACCATAGCCCAGTTCACATCAGTACCATCAAGAAAATATAATTTGTAGTTTTAAGCTTGTCAATAAAGTGTCATGTTTCAATAAGGTGTCATGTGTCAATAAGGTGTCATGTGTCAATAAGGTGTCATGTATCAATAAGGTGTCATGTGTCAATAAGGTGTCATGTTTCAATAAGGTGTCATGTGTCAATAAGGTGTCGTGTATCAATAAGGTGTCATGTGTCATTAAAGTGTCGACTGTCAATAAAATGTCGTCATTTGTTCATTGAAGGTTTGCTAACCTGCTAATTTAATTTGCTATAAAAAGACATAAAAATAATAAATGATGGCATTAAATATTGTTACAAAGTATTAAACAGAAACTCGTCCCTCGCCCCTTTAGACAGCGACAAGGCCATGACAGGCAATTCAGGCTCCTACCAGCAAGAAGCCAGTATAGGAGCTGCTCATTCCTGCCCAAGACAATCAGGGACTGGAACAAGCTTTCAAAAGGAATGGTTGAGGTGACAACACTTGACACATTTGCCTCTATTGCCTTGAGCCTTCAAACCCCTAGTGCATGATTCTCTCACAAAGTGGCACTTGCAATCAGTGAAATATCCTCATCAACACCAGGCACAGAAACATTGCAAATCCCTTCTACATGCATAGGAGCCATAATGATCAATACATTGATCGTGGGCCCTTAATATATAGAAGAAGAAGAATATAAGAAGCAGTTGTGTCGGTTAACGTACCGTACTAAGAAGTTATAATTTTTTTTAAAAAACATATGAAAGTCTATTGTGGTTTCATGCTTTTAATACCGTAATCTTGTGCCGTACTGTAATCTTGTGCCGTGCCGTAATCTTGTGCCGTGCCGTAATCTTGTGCCGTGCCGTAATCTTGTGCCGTGCTGCATCCAGAAAAGATATCGATTCCTTGACCAAATGGGATTTTCAATAACAGCCTACCAATATCGCTAGGCATTCCATAGTTATCCACAACACTCTCAGAGTTTGCACTGCCCAAAGAACACACTTTTTAATAGAATACGCACAGTATATTTTTTCTATCCTTTAAATTTTATTGAAAAGTTATCAACAGGCTTTCTAATGATGCACTGCGAGGAATAATCCAAATGACACAGATTTTCAGACCCTGCTGCCAATTACACTAAGTACGACCCCTTTGCACTGGTTATACCACTTTATATGTGCATTCTCTGGTCATATCATTTGTATCAATACATACTCTGATCATACACATGTATACATACATACACCATTCTTACCATTTGTATAAAAAAAACAAAGTATAATAATTTGATAAGTTAATAAATGAAATTTAATAAACAAATAACACCATAAACAAAGTCTACAATTAGCCAGTGACACAAGAGGCAGACACTTGCTCATATTATGAGACACAGCAATAAATACACAATAATGATTGAAGATATAGAAAATCATAAGCTCATGACCAATGCGTCACAATGTCCATCACTTTAACTTGTCCTATGTCACCATTGCCATTTGACACAGATAAACATCACCACCCCCACCCACCCCAAAATAAATAAATCATAATTTGAATATTTCAAAAATTACCTCATAATTAAAGGAATGAATCATTGAAAATTAAAAACAGGCTTTAGAGAAAATTAAATGAAAACTTTTGCTTCCATAGCAAACAGAACATTGCACATCTTGTAAAACATTTGACGTTTTCCAAACAACGGCTATGACTTATTCATGCAGATCTTCTTATGACTTATTCACTGCACATGAATAATAACTCTTTTTTACATTTTTTTTTCTTTTTTACTTATTTAATGAGTCATATCCATTAGCAAATATATTACAGTAAAACACTTTGAAATGACTGACACGTTATTTTTCTTTTCTGACAGAATTAAATGTACCTGTATTAACCCACGTTTTAACAGTCATACCATCAATTCTAGCAATCATCTAGCAAACATCCTAAATCAGACGTAGCATCTTCTAGAATCTATATCATCGGCCATCCACAGTTTTATCCCTTGCAATGACAGACTCGTCAAACTTGATCATAAATGTTGTCCCTTTGTGCCAGTGAACTGTCACTTTGGCGGGCTGGGAGATAACAGGAAAACGGTGTTAGGAAAACAACAAGATAGCTGAAAGGTATTGTACACAAATTACATATAAGATAACAACAGTATGTGTCATTTCTTAAACGAGTCAACTTTGAAAATAATCGCACACTGCAAAGAACAAAATGTCTAATGGGCGGCATATGTGTGTTTCTTGTAGAACAATGTGCATTATAAGAACCAACAGTACAAAACACTCAAATAATTAAGGCTATACATTTTTTAGTTTGGCTAACTAATTTCCTGCTCAGTGGCCATGGAGAAATATTGATTGATGTACAAGAGAGATGACATTAGGTGTAACAGACCATGTTACTTATGCATATGTCACAGATTTTTCGCACGGCACTAATATTTGTTCTCATGGCACAATGGTGTAGTGATTTTATAATAAAGAAGTAAAACACAAGAAACAAAGAACTAGTTTTTATACCGTAATGTAGAATGAATAAAACAGAAAAAAACGGTATAAAAATAAGAAATATCACTTAGCTAGCTGCCCATGGATACTACATTTAAGCTAAGTGATATTTCTTATTTTTATACCGTTTTTTTCTGTTGTTTTGTTCGCTGACGAAGGCTTTCTACCGACACGGTCGTTGTTTTGTTGCGTTTCTTTTTTCAGGTTTAACCCTACTCTGTTTTATTCATTCTTCATTGTGCTAAACTGATTGCAGTCTCTCCCCTTATTACCCTTTTTATAGTGTAGGGAGAATTCACATTTTTTTAGTACAGTGGGAGTGAACGAGATAACGTTGATATAGGAGGATGACATATTGAATTTTTCTGATGGATTTACATAATTAATAATTAACTGGGAGCGGCGGGGGGATTCTTTTGTTATGGCCACGAGCCACTGGACTGGTAGCGCCAACGTTTGTATTGTAGTCAACATGACCTAGATTTAATTCAGCCACAGCCGGTTTTTCAATCTGGTAGCTAATCAGTTAACTTAAGTATTAAATGTGTGTCTAAGTATATTCTTCATATTGCACTATCATTGTTATAACATTATTCCAATGTCAAAGTATCACGTAATATATTTAGTATGTATAATAAAGTACTGTGTAGTGTTCATTCGACCTTGTTGCTTCTTAGCGAAGAGAGAGACCATCGTTTGTGGGAGTGAATGAAAAGTATTGGCAAGCCATCACTTGCATCGGGGCTACACGGCACATTATTAGCCAACGTTTATTAGTAGCAATACTGAATCATTAACGCCTACATTTCTATAAAAGTATTTCTATTAAGTAATAATCCTATTTTCCATTGCCTGCTCTGCAGTAAAACAACAACATATTTATACTCTTGTTTACTTATGATCTGAAAGTCTGTTCATTCCTCACTTTTTGTGTGTGTAATAAAGCAATCGACACAAGTGTGGACGACTTGACAAATAAAAATTAATTGAGTCCCTGTTTAGTGCTAATATTTATTCTTATTTAATAGTACTATTTGAAAGGCTAAAATGATACTTACAAAATTAGCTCCATTCAGGACAGCTTCCAAAATACCAGCGGTGAACGCTGCACAGTTGAGGTTACCTGCAACAACAGAAACTAGTTACAATCTGGTACCTGATACCAAGAATTAAACCCAATACAGTATGAAATGGTTTTGTAAACGACTTGAAGTTGATTGGCTGCTCTTATTAAACCCTTTCTATTTTAGTCCAGGACACACAGTGCTCACCTTTGTCTTTAGGAACAGAAATGAATTTATTCACCAAAGGCTCCTTTTCAATGATGTAATCTGATCATGTGTCAAGGATGATGTTGATAACAAATATTTCTCCACAACCAGGACTAATAATAATATGAATAATGGATAAGTACAAAATGCACTTAGGCGTTTCTAAGAACAAAAATAATTTCAGTTTTTCAAATCAGTCATCCTTAAACATGATTTTGTTGACCGTTAATTCTGGTTATATTTTTATAAAGTGACGCTGATGTAAGAGATATATATTAGTAACTGTTTTTTCAATTTAATTTCAAATAAAATATTATGAATAGCAAGGAGTCTTATTCCAGGTTTTTTAAATCTTCATTCACTCTGGGTGTGACAACTGGTACTTGAAGCAAGAGCCCAAAAAATCCACTTCTGTCTATAAGTCAAATACTGTCAAAGCCATCAGAAGGGCTTCTATTCCACAGATTCTTCTCTGTTGATCTGAGCTGGTTTCTTAGGGCTCTCCAGTTTTATTTTGTTTGTTCCTTTGGCCGCACTTCGCCATGCTGTCCTGAGATGTCAGTTTTCTGACATTTTGCATACATGACCAAACCATCTCCAGTAACAGACCTATACCATTTCTGCAATGATTCTCACTCTTTGATTGGCAAGCTCAGCTCTTCTGACCAGAAAATTCTATGAATTCTTCATCTCCATTATGTCTGGAAAAATATCCAGATTCTATTCTGATAAACTGGTGGTTTGATCAATTGAGAACAATTAAGAAATTACTTTTAAAAATTAAGATCTTAGTGTGGATATTGAATTGTTCTTCAAATTAAAAAACATTATGTTGATAGGAAATGTGTTAATTTAAAATGTCTACATTAATTCCCATATTAAATCTAATGTAATTCTTTTAAAGACAAAAGATATATAAACTCCGTTACATCTAAATCGCCTATTCTTTTCAGGCATTAATTATATACTTTTATATTTTAAATAACATGGAACACAACAAAGGGATACAAGTTCTGTCATCATCATTGGCTTGCTCTAACTTGTCAGCTTCCTTGCCAAAAACAAGCTGTCAATAGTGAAATTTAAATAAAAATCAAATAATACAATTGTTTGACAAATGTAGAGTGTATTATTAATGATTACAAGCTGTCTGTTCTCTGTCACTTCTTTCCTCTGGTTCCTGCCTTACTGAACTTCATTCTATCTATTCACCCCATCGAAAGCTTCGTTCCTCTGCAGACACGCATATTCATTCTGTTCCCACAAAATACACTAAAACATATGGTGAGCGATCTTTCTCTTCCTGTGCCCCAAAAAATGGCATCCTCTCCCATTACACATCGGCAATGTATGGGCCACAAAACTGCCCTCAAGACCCATCTCTTCAAACTGTACTATACCGACTCATTCTCACCCACCTCTAACTAATAACGCTTGATGCTGCTGGGTTCTGTCCATGGCTAGACAGGAGTAGATAGCACTTGGGTGGGTGAGTTCAAACTTTTCACCAATTGTTGTTTTTAAATATATAAATTTCTGTAATTGCTAATTTTATGTGAAGCACGGTGACATAAAACTCATTCGTCTTTATAACAGAATATCTGTCAACTGCCTTGTCTCTAGCATGTTAAATGTTATGAACTTAACATTAGGTCCTGATTTCTTTTAATCCCTTACCTTCCAAAACGTGGACTTGATAAAAATAAGCATGCTCAGCAGCTTGATTTCTCTTTTGTAGCCCTTTTCTCTGAGAAAAAGCACATCAAGCATGTGTGATCCAACATGCTGCCCAAGTTCTGACAACCTTTTGGAATAAAATCATGGTTCAGCAAGTTATATACAAGGATATACACTGTCATAGGTAGCAAACAATAGAAGGGAGGTAAACTGTATTGAAAGTATCCCATTGCCCATAAACTTAAATAATTTTTAAACACCAAATTTAATATAAGTAAAATTTAATGTTAAATACAAAATTTAGGACTATTACAATTACTATATTACTAAGGCTATTAACTATGACTATTAACTATTAGTAAAAAGCACTGAAAGTTTAATTCTCTTTTTCTCCTCTTATTCCAACAACATCCCATTATTGAACTATAATTTTTATGTTTCAATTTTTAGAGAGATGGATGGTATGGATATTCTTAAGTTCATTGTAACTGGGTCAAACTGTTTTGAGCTTATATTATCTCAATAAAAATTCAATGATGACTGTCAATTATTTTGCTAATTTAATTTATCTTTTCAACACATTTAAATTTTCTTTTCATAACATATTAATCATGGAGGGATTTACTGTAGTAATACTTACATGAAAAAGTATGAATTGTTAAAAATCGTAATTTTAAATTTTTTTTAAAGAATACCAACTCACTTAGTTTGTAACTCCGGCACTGTAAGTACTCGATTTTGACAATACTGAACAATTTCAGAAAACAGAAGTGCAAATGTTGCAATATTTACCTGTAATCAAATAGTAGGGAATAAACTGTAGAAAATTGTAATGTGATACTTCTTGATTTTTTAAATTAAAATTTACATTTTCTGAGTTAGGGCTCATTTCCAATATAAATTTGTTGTATTTTCCCACACGGACCCAAAGTTAAAAACCACTGGACATTGATAACATTTTTTTTTTGGTTGAAAATGTAGGCCAATCAATAAACTGATTAATCAATCAATATCATAAACAGAATTTTAGGCTATAATAAGGCCCTTCAGTAAAGCAAATAATGGCCTTCAGTAAAGCAAGGGAGATTACTAAAATAAAACTTGCATAGGAAATGGTTGTTTGAGCAGGAAAAACGTACAACATTAGTGCTTTTTCATTCATAAAAAATTATTTTGTCCAACAAAAAGGACATCTAGGCTTACATTTCCATCCTTTCACTTTGGAGGACATCTAGGCAAACATTTCAATTTATTTCTATTTCATTTACAATCAGTCAACTTTTAGAAATTTCTTGGCAAATATTTTGCACCTTTCATCAATGAAATTTAAGTCAAAATTAAATATATATCATTATAATTTTTACATCACTCGGGTACATGTTGATCTACATTTGTGTCGATTTTCATAGCGCTTTGTGTATTATGAGAGATGCCATTTTTCTACAAGTGAGCAGTATGTTGTGGGTCCCTTAGCCAACTTTGCTGGGATGTGACCACCTCTCCTTTTTAATGGTGGAAGGTGCAGATACTAAGGATATATTTAATTACTACCGCTATTTACATTACTATATTTTATAGAAAATTTCAAATTAAAAAAAAGAAACCATTATCAACTTTCTAGCTTTTGTACTTTGTTGAGCTATACTATGAATTTTTTGAAAGTGCGAATTCGTTTGATATTTTTTACTATAGACTGCACCTCCACGTTATTTTAGGACGATTAATTATTTCTATTGAATATAATTTTTGGACGTTGGTCATTCTCGATTAATAAAAGAACAATTTTGTCATAAAATTGTGGTATCCTTCAACATGTTCACATTAAGGGATATCTTTGGCTACATTCCAACATACTCTTGTGTCTTTTGCCTTTTTTGATCGACCTTAGTTTTAGAAATTCATAGGTATTTATAATTATTTAAGGCATCATTCCCTCAAATTTTTTTTAAGAAATTCAAATAATAGGTCTTTTATATTAAACCTTGAAAAAGCATTATATATTGATGTAAACGTGAGCCAATTTTCATTGATGTAGGGCGTGTCCGATTGTCACAAATGACCATGCTGGAGACGGGAACGATGGGCATGAGCGCCGCACAAAAGTACAATAGATGAGGGAATTGTTGGCCTCACATCGGCAGAGTTTATGGTAGTACAGGAAAGACATGATAGTTTGGGGAAATCGAGAATCCAGGGGGACAGTGTGGGAACGGGTATCACAAATTTTTTCGATTAACATGTTTTTAGTTTGCAGGTGGAAATGGAATGTTCACAAAGACCATGGGTAGAGTTAGATTAATTATCAGTAATAGTAAGAGTCTCAACGTGATAGATGCTAATAGCTGGGTAAGATCATGGAATAGACGTTTGGGGGTAAAAGGATCTGTTCAGGGAATGTTGCCTTTAATGATGTGGCAATTCAATGACCGTGGGATGGTAAGCTAGTGGAGTAAATTTAAGGCAGAAGTTTTTCGAGACATGGGAGTTGAGAGGTATAGCAGTTGAGGAAGAGGGAAAAGAGCTACGATAGAGTTAGGCAGTTTTTAGGGAATAGTCGCAAGAGATCAGGAGACGAGTTGACTAGTGGAACATAGGAGACAATATAGTTTAACAGTTTAGAAACAGTCGTAGATAGCTGACAGTTATTGAATACGATAGAAGAACTTTTTATTTGAGTAATAAATATAGTCTATTTTATCATTGGACACCTGGAGTTTGTGTTTTTGGATTTCTTTCAAGTCTACGTTGTACTTTCGTCTGTCTCAACGCCTAGATACCCACAATATAAATCACAGAGAGGAGCGGCCCTTTACTGACCACTACTAGTCAATAAAGTTTGTGACAAGTCAGGACCGGAGCCCTCCTCCGCAAAAACCGTTTTGTGACACCGGTGATCTCAGTAACCTGCATTACTCAGCCTAATTTTGACATGGTGTGAGTGTGAGCCATGCCCCCTTTTAATGGTGGAAGATGCCAATACTTGGGACTTGGGAAATATTTAATTATTACCACTATTTATTTACATCAAAATATTTGATAAATTATGTTTTAGAATGTACTAGGGGCTAAGCCTTTAGTTTTATTGATTGAGTGATAGTCACTGATTGATACTTGATATAGTGTTGTTAACTCTAGTTACTAGTTAGTCACTAGCCTAGTCCTACCCTAGCCTAGTATTAGTAGTAATAGTACGGTACCTAATTCTAACATTAATATTAATAGTAATAGTAACACTACACTGTACACTACTACTAGTTATCATGTTATGACTGATCCATGCTAAAGAACTGCGAGCATAAATGTAACACTTAATCACATAAAAAATATTTTATGGCGTTTCAAAACAATAATACCACAATAACTTCAATAATTTTACTTCTGGCTTTCCTTTTCCAAGAGATTTTTCAAGATTTGAGGACTTTTGTTTACCAAGAGACGACATCTTGCCTCCTTTCGAATGCCAGCTTTAATTAATTTTTTTTAAATTCAGAAGATATTTAAAAAAGAAATCCCAAAGTTTAACGTCCTAAAGAATAAATTATAAAAATTATAGATATACTTAAACAATGTTTTAATGTTTTTAAATTGGAAATAACACTTGGGAATTACAACTCTGCGTGACGTATTTTTTATTGTACTCTAGGCTCTAGGTATCAAAAATCTGGCTAGAAAAATAAATGTACAATGTAAAAAAATATAATTATCCAACTATGGTTGATTCATAATTACAAACTCTCACAATGGCAGGTATGCAAATACCAATTTTTAAATTTAATGATTATATTTATTATACATAAAAGATAAAATATTGGTTAGGTCATAAAAGACATAGTTCTGTAAGTGTAACTGGGTGGATTTCGTCTTCGTTAAACTTTGTATTTGTAACTCTAGTCTAGGCACTCTAGACTCTAGGTCTTGTTACTTCAAGAATCAAGTGAGGACAACTCAGCTGACACTGTCTGAACGAACTAAATAAAGTTAAACACTAACATAACACGCAAGAATAAGAGTACTAAGAAAATAATACTTATTTACGCACCCTGCTCCTCAACGATAACAGTGGTCATAGCCCAGACTAGTCCTTTAATCAAATGATTAGTCTTAAATGACTTATAAATAACTTGTACTTATGAAAGTGAAAGACTTAAACTTAAAGGGATACTTGCTACTCACTTACCACTCTTACTGAACTTACTGACTCCCTGAGTAACTCCTTGACAGTACCGGTACTCAAAATCAAAAGCTACATCACTATAACTTATAAATACATCATATGACTATGATAGTTTATGTCTCCTCTGCCCTAAGACACTTATAAGAGTTATATTATATTATTTATTATAGTTACTAAGTTAGACTTACACTTTACACATTTAAATTATCACAATCATGTCTAAGTCTGCGGTATCATTCTTGATTGCTTGATTGATTAATTTAATTTAAGTATTTATGTAGGCCTATATTATATATTATACATAATTAACTAATTATAAAAAGTGTTGGACTGCAATAAAGCTTTAAAATAGATTAATAAGACACGAACAAATTGTGTCAATATAACAATATAAGGAAGCTTTAATAATAATTATACATTATACATAAGTAAACGTTTCGGCACATGCCTTCATCAGTACAAACAAACAAAACACATTTAAATAAGTATAAATTAAATTTACATAATAAAACTATACATATCCTACCTAAAACAGAAAAAATTGGAGAGGGCGCTAAAACCAGACAAAACGAAGTAAAGAGGAGTAGAAAGGAAGTGATTTTAACATAATTGTAAAAAGCAAACAAAATTTAATTTATACTTATGACTTATTTAAATGTGTTTTGTTTGTTCGTACTGATGAAGGCATGTGCCGAAACGTTTACTTATGTATAATGTATAATTATTATTAAAGCTTCCTTATATTGTTATATTTATATTGACACAATTTGTTCGTGTCTTATTAATCTATATTATACATAGTATAGTAATAGGCCTACTATAGGTAGCTATTACTATATGGAATATGGATAAGTATAAGTCTAACTAAACTAAATTTGCTGTCTTTGACTTAGACTTTGATTAGGCTACACTGCTACTGCTACACCCATTAAACTAAAAAGTGATTATCTGATCAATAAAAATTAATTTTTTTAAAATTACATTTCTTTTAAAATTATATTAACTAATAAAATGTACACAATTAGTTTGTGAACTTAGTGCCTTTAACATTAAAGATTTTAAAAGAAATATCAAGATTAGAAATAACAGAAATCTGTATTGGCTAGTGGTAGTAGTGACTGTTACTGTTAGATCATTTTATGGTTAGCGGTTAGCATCCTTTTTTTAAAGCTGATCGTAGGTGTGGTGAAGTGCCTGAAGGTCAACGTTAATTAATATAACAAGTATTACATTTACTAAATGAGAAACACTTCTGTATATTAGTTAAATAAAATCAATCTTCCAGTAGATCATAGTCATAGATGTGTAAGCCTGATGAAAAAAGAAGTGACATATAATATATATAATAGTCTGTAATATTGTACTATTACATATTATTTCACTTACTCTCTTCTGTAAATTAATTTGAGCTTAAAATAAATTTTTGCAAGGTTAATTTCTAACTAGTCAAGCAGTCTATGACTAATAAAATCCAAGCATTGGTCCTTATTCCTAGATTTATTTAAGTGTGCAAAAAAGACACACAAAAAACTTGTTTAAATTTAAAACAAATGATGAAAACAACATGCAGAATTACTATTGCAATCAAATGTGAAGACTATCAAGCATGATAACTTTGAAATTTCAAGTGGGGTAAATTGTCAGTATATTTTTAATATGATTTGTCAAATTAGTTTTAATAAAACTGCACAAAATTTGTTCTCATGTTGTTAATCAACAGGAATTTGTGGATGTTGCTCGGCTTTAAAGCCGCGTTATAAAAGGCTTGTGGACAACATATTTCCAGCAAATCCACAGGTAATTTATCTTCCTTGCTAAATAAATTAAATTCTTTTTTTAAATTTAAAAAAAAATAGTTATTTGGCATGAAATAAGTAACTTAAGGGAAATGTATTTAGCATAATGATCTTTTTTTCTTTTTCCTTATATAAAGGAAGGCCTTGTGAAAAGCAACATGGAAAAGCTGACATTTTATGCATTGTCCTCCCGTCCGGAAAAACTGGATAGAATTGGCCAGTATTTGGAGCGGAAGCTCAGTACTGACATAAATAGGCATAGATCAGAGTAAGTGGAAGAAGCTTTAATTTCAAAGCCAGGCTTTACCTTACTGATTCTATGGCAGGTTTGGGAAAATTAATAAATCACTTGATAAATATATTGTCTGGGATTGACATGTGTAATAATTACCCAACATATTGTATAAAGCAAAAATGATGTTCTGTGATAGAAAATAAGGACCAAAAAAACATGGTCTTATAATTTTTCACAATTCAAATGCATGCATTTAAAAGAAGATTTTAAAAAACCTTTACAATTTTTGTCTTAAGATTTAGCTTGCTAAAACATTGTTGGTCTTAAATCTCAAAATTCCTAAATAGTTTATGGGAATAGACCATTTTTACCCAGGACAGAATTGAACTTTCTTTATTAAAAAAAATTTTTTTTGTTATCCAGGTATGTTTTTATTTCCATGGAGATATTAGACCAGCTTCTAGTATCCTGCCATGCTCACTCTCTCAATCTTTTTGTGGAAAGTTTTCTCAAGATGGTGCAGAAACTTCTTGAATGTGGGGATCCCAACATGCAGACCAGGGCTACGTCATCAGTGAGTAGGCTCCTACTTACCTTATGTGGAATATTGACAGTCACTGACAACATGTTGTTGGGACATCCTAATAGTGTTTATTACATAGTTACATTTCTGCGGTGCAAATATTTTTGATCGGGCCATGTGGCAGGGTTTACATTTAACATTCAAGAAAGTTTCTCATTTCTTAAACACTGATCCTTCTTTGTTGATGTAGTAATTTACTTCAAGTTGGTCTGCGTTAAGTTTCATTGAGTGACCACTTCATATCAACAGCTAAGTAATATATATATATATATATATATATATATATATATATATATATATATATATATATACACACACATATATATATCTCTTTGTTTGTGTGTAGGGTTCTTGGTGTGTTCTCTGCTATTTTTATATAATATATATATATATATATATATATATATATATATATATATATATATATATATACACACACATTTATGGAACTCTTTGTTTGAGTGTAGGGTTCTTGGGATGTTCACTGCTATTTTGATATAGGGATCTTGGGATATTCACTGCAATTTTCATGTAGTGATCTTGGGATAGTCTTTGTTATTTTTGATGTAGGGATCTTGGGATAGTCATTGCTATTTTGAAGCTTTAATCTATACAATTTAAGTGAAAAGTTATGCTTTATTAACGTGATGAGTTGCTCAAATAGATATTGCAATGCTCTGTTATATGTTGCAATGCTCTGTTATGTGTTGCAATGCTCTGTTGTGTGTTGCAATGCTCTTTTATGTGTTGCAATGCTCTGATATACGTTGCAATGCTCTTTTATGTGTTGCAATGCTTTGTTGTGTGTTGCAATGCTCTTTTATGTGTTGCAATGCTCTGATATATGTTGCAATGCTCTTTTATGTGTTGCAATGCTCTGTTGTGTGTTGCAATACTCTTTTATGTGTTGCAATGCTCTGATATATGTTGCAATGCTCTGCCAAGTGACATTTTCATCTTAAACAAATTATTTTGTATAAAAACCAGAGTGTTTGAGTGTGTTTCATGTTGTCAGTCAGAGTAAGGGACCCTTACATAGTCCTAAAACGTTTTTATGGATAGTTTTTGACTTAAACAAATTCTATTTAAGTTTGAATTTCCATAAAATAGATTTGCTGTATCAAAGTCATGAAATCACGTTTGAATGTATTATTATTAAATTGTACAAGTGAGCTGCTGTAATTAAACAAGATAAAAGTGTGATCGGAGGACTTTTGGGTCAGTGGGTTGAAAGATGTTTAGTGGTGCACAAGTACAAGTTGAAGTGAGCTCTTTAAATTACATGCAGTGAAAGTTCATTACATGCAGTGAAAGTTCATTACATGCAGTGAAAGTTCATTACATGCAGTGAAAGTTCATTACATGCAGTGAAAGTTCATTACATGCAGTGAAAGTTCATTACATGCAGTGAAAGTTCATTACATGCAGTGAAAGTTCATTACATGCAGTGAAAGTTCATTACATGCAGTGAAAGTTCATTACATGCAGTGAAAGTTCATTACATGCAGTGAAAGTTCATTACATGCAGTGAAAGTTCATGGGACTGGGACGCTTTTGTCCATGTCCATGTGTTTATCCACTTGTTGAAAGTTGTGTGACTTAAAATGAGTGGGTCAATATAATATACTGCGACTTATAGAAAGATCAAGAGAAAATGATTGGAGAGAAATCAGGAGCTTGATGCTACTGGACTTTGTAGTGTATTAGAATGGAAAGGACGTCCTTCTTACAGGGGTTATTCAGCTTAGGAAACTATCATTATTCATATAAAGTCGAGCCTGGTCTACTGTTTTGAACTGATGAACAGTGTAAATAAACTCTTTTATATTGTTAATGTGGCGTTGGAGTTTTA